CACACACAACCACCACCACCCACACACACACACACACACACACTCACACGCACACACACACACACACACACACTCACACACACCCATCCATTATCTTCATTCATTATCCTGACGAGGGTCTCGAGCGTGCTGAAGCCTGTCCTAGCTGACTTTGGGCGGGGTACACCCTGAACTGGTTGCCAGCCAATCACAGGGCAGACATAGACGAACAACCATTCACACTCACACTCACACCCAGGGACAATTTAGAGTGTTCCATTAACCTACTATGCATGTTTTTGGAATGTGGGAGAAATTCAGAGTACCCGGACAACACCCACATGCAAGAACATGCAAACACCACACAAGAAGGCCATAGTTGGATTCAAACCCACAATCTCTGCACTGTGAGGTGGATGTCCTAACCAGCCGACAACCGTGGCGCCCAACCTATAAATCTGAAACAACAACCAGAGACCTACACTCAGTTGTGACTTCTTTCAGCAAGGGGACTGATGAGTGAAAATCTCGTTCATCTGGAAATAGACAAAAACAGGACCATGCTTACCAGACTTCAAATCAGAAATCTTACCTCAAGATAATGAAAATGAGACAGAATCAATGGATTAATTATGTAGTGCATTTCACAACAGCTGCAGCTGTAACAAAGCACTTTTCATCCATCCATTATCTCATCCACTTATCCTCAGACGGGCCGCAGGAGTGCTGGTGCCTATCTCAGCTGTCTTCGGACAGTAGGCAGGGCACACCCTGAACTGGTTGCCAGACAATCACAGGATACACATAGACAAACCATTTGGGCTCACAATCACACATAGGGACAATTTAGAGCGTTCAATCAACCTCCCAGGATGTTTTTAGATTGTGGGAGGAAACCAAAGTACCAAGAGAAAACCCATTTATATTTTTCAAATGATCACTTTGGTAACATTCCGAGAAAATCAAAATGTCCTTTCACCTGTGAGTTACTTTTAGAACAGGCCAGCGGACTGTCCTTGAGGGCTACCGGTTGCCTGCGTGCACCACAATGATAACCCTGAATTAGACATCAGTTACTCTTTTATCATTATGCTCAGTGCTCACTATTGTCATTGATCTTTCTGCTGGACATTTACAACATTTAAAATATAAAGTGCTGGTATGTTCAATATCTATGTAGCTATCCATCCAGCCAAATGTAGATATAGAGATACAATACATCCAAGAACTGAGAACACAATTTTCTGATTGCCTGCACTAGGTGCTTGCATTTGCGAGTGCATTAGAAGATGCATTGATGTTGTTTGAGCCGCTCCCTTTACTTGTCTGCTCTGCTGCAAATGTAATGTTTCTTTTCCACCGAGAACTTCAGCCCATGGATGATATCACGGCAGTGATACAGAATGACCAGTAAGTCTGTGAGAGGGCGAAGGTCACGTCAGAAAAAGTGGAAAGTGTTCCTAAACATTTACTATAAATATGACTCTAAATAAAACAATATTTCACTTGCAGTAACTTACGAGTTTACTGTCTCCGGGTCTCATTCAAACCCCTCTATCACTTTCTATACTGATTTTAATTACTGTATGACTTGAGTTAAATTAGTGATGTATAATACTGCACAGTTATATGAACCAAAGTTTCTTGGTCTATCATGCCGCTCTTTTTCTATAATAGTGTTAAAGATGGAGCCCAGCTGTTTAACAGGATATCAAGTACCTTTTCGATCTAAGAAAATGTACGCCAACATAGGTGGGACTGTTCCTCGTGTCTCAAGATAGTCTGCTCAGACATCCCTTTCGGTCGTGTTTCCTTGTGTCCTGACAAACATCAGTTGTGTGGCGTTAATTTACAGAATATTTCTCATTCATTTGCAGCTGTTTTCGTCTTGGGTGTTTTTTTTTGTTGTTTTTTTTTTAACGACTTCTGCTCAAAACTTGATACAACAGCATCAATGTGCTAAGTAACTTACTCATGAATACTTTGAAAGTGCAATGGCTCAAGCTACATCAACTTGACTCTTTGGCATTGCCGCAAAATATATACCCACTGCAACAAGGAGTCTACAATCAATGCAAAATATTCACAAATATAAATGTGATGTACATATATGCCCCACTGTGTGCTGTTTCTATCAAACCTTATGACCTTGGCCAAGCACATATCGCTGTCATTCTGAATTTCTACACTTGGCTATAACTTTCCATTTTTAATGGTTGATTGGTTTTGACAATGCAAGAGGAGTGCAATCCTGCCACAGTGAACAGGATAAGAGAAAGAGATAATGGGTAGTGCAGGTTCTAAGAGGCCAGCACTCGCATATCTAGTGGCAGTACAATCGATGAATTAGCACACAAGCAGCTACTGTAAAGGTTTTGAGTGCGTATAATTTATCAGGTCAACTTTTTTGCACATGGTTGTCTGTGTGCACATCTGTCCCCTTAAAACTTGGAGTTCCTCAAGACTTAATTTGTTCCATTTCAAATCGGCAAGCTTGACATGACTGAACATCGATAGAGCAGCATTAAGTTCAAGTTCGAGTTCAAGTTCAAGTCAACTTTCTTGTCAAATGTGCTACATGTGCAACATACAGCATAGATGAAATTACTTTCCTCTCAACCACAGGAGAGGTATGTGATATGTGAACAAACCACATAATGTATATAATGAGTAACCCATCCTCCGTTTTCTATACCACTTTTCCTCAGTAAGGTCACAGGTGACTAGAGCCTATTCCAGCCCATGCCATTTTTCTCTTGTCCCTCCAGATCTTCCAATTTCGAGGTACACATGCGAACATCTCTTTCACAAAAGGCTACCAGTGAGCAATCCATTAACATTCATTTAGGGTAGGGACTCTGGACATGTTGACCCTTTTGTGCTGAAAACAATTTATTGCTTTTGCCAGCGGGAACAATTAAGGTCAGGAAGGAGTGTCAAGACGCCCGCGACCCTGAAGATAAGCGGATTACAAATTGTATGGATGGATGAATGGATGGATGGATTGTCAAGACTAGAGTGACCTGTTCAGTGTATCAGTTTCTTTGTTATGGGTTCTCTGTTTCACTCACTCACAAATGCACAGCCCGTTACAGCCTACCCAGCAGGCCTTAGAAAAGATAATCAGGGCATTATGAGTGCACCTTCTGTGCAGAACAACAGTTTATTGCCTTGTGCTGACAGACAGGCTGACTTCAAGATGGAGATCCAAGTGTGCTCCAGAATTGGTGGACTGTTTGGACTCACTAAACAGCACACATGGAGCCCCAAACTGGCATTCGAGCTTGGTAAAGAATAAAGAAATCTAAGCCACTAACAGTCAGTTCTTACCTTAAATTCCACTTTGTTCATTTTCATCTTAAATGTGTACACATTTTTAAGGTGCATTTCTAAAATCACAAAGCATCATCTTTTTGGTAATAAATTTAATCTACTGTTTCTCTAGCAGCCACAGCCGGTCCGCATCGTTGCATCACAGTCGGCTCAGCCAACCTCTTTGCCAAAGCCTGTGCCTTCCGTCCAGCCCACCCCAAGACCTCTTGTTCCACCACATACGCCACACGCTGCCAGCCTTCCGAGCTGCTCTGGAAGGGGCAAGATGGGAAAGCTCTGTAATCCAGAGGAGATGACCTCAAAAGACTACTACTTTGACTCTTACGCCCACTTTGGTATCCATGAGGTAAGTTGGTATATCCTGCTGTTAGCACACTTCTTGGAAGGACAATCATTGGCACATGGAACTTGTGCAGGTGAAACGACATTAGTAAATTGTCCACTTGGAACTATTTTACAGCAGCTGATTTTTCATTCACTGCTGGGGGCACTTTTTATGTGAATTTACTGCACTTCGGTACAGTGAATCCCTGCCACTTGTCAGGGATAGAGACCGAACCCGGCCACAGATAGCAACAATACAAGTGTAACCGAACTGAAAGCACTTCCAACGGTTTAAAGTTGTCCATAATGATGTCATTAACACAGGCCTTTGCATCATATGGAATAAGTTGAGCACAGACCTCTAGCAAAGGGAAAGTATCCTACGATGTCTGTTTTTTGACTTGCAGGGCAAAACTCTTTCACTCTAATCCGACGCTGCAGTAAAGTGGGGGGCCAAGTGACACAAAGCAATCACTTTCTTCACCAGAACTCTGTTCGCTGGATCTGGTCGTCCACGAGCACATTACTCCAACAATACTGCCAAAACTACTGAAAGTGAACTCTGATTCAACTGTACATGATGTGCCATGGGCCCGACCATTTAAGTGTCATGACAGAAATTTATTCAATCTTCTTACAAATGGTCAGATGTTATCACTGCTGAAAAAGATGAACATAAACCGAACAAGACAAAGACAACAAGTAAAATAATATATAACAGAACAGATACAAATGAATCTGCACATCCACTGGATCCAGCTGTAGCGCTCATGAATAAAACCAAACAGCACCACACTTATGTCATCTTATTAAAATGCGTCTTGAAATCCTTGCTTTCCTTCTTTTATTGCACACATTTCTTCTAATGAAGATACATGTTAACTATGTCCAGTTTTACCAAGGCTTCACAAAAAGAGAACATACACTTAGTCTGATCTGTGACACACTTTTTTTTTTCGACGAATGATTTAGGAGAAGAGTCGGGGTACATTTATCTCGCTTCTGACCGCACTTCACAACGCGAGGTAAAGGCAAAAAAGGAGAAATAAATAGACTGAGCCCAGAGGCTCATGGGAGTCCTCCCAAAACACCTTTTATTGATTTGTTTGTAAAACCATGCGACTTTGATACAATACACGAGCACACAGTGCATATATCACAGCAAATCCACAAACACAGTTGTCAGACTGTATTTCAAACTCAGGGAAACAAATTGCCACTTTCCCACGGGGTCACCCTTATCAGCATCTTTCTCACCTTGTTTTGTTTTACATTTAAACCAGGAGATGTTGAAGGATGAAGTGAGGACGCTCACCTACCGCAATTCCATGTACCACAACAAGCACGTGTTCAAGGATAAAATAGTTCTGGATGTTGGAAGCGGCACTGGGATCTTATCCATGTTTGCAGCCAAAGCAGGAGCAAAGCATGTGTATGGGGTAGGTAACACAATATTCTGTATGGAGGTTTACAGTGGCAAAGCAACAGGCTCGAAATCCATCCCATCTTGATAGCGCGTATGGTATGCAGCTCTCTGTATGACTTGTTCCATGTGTATCTGGACATTTGAACCGCTGCACCATGGGTCAGGTTTATTCTAATCTTAGAAGAATCTCTTTTCTCAGGCAGGCGATAAAAGTGCTATGGCCTCTCAGGTCGGTACACATGCCATGCAGTAACGATTTAAGAGCGCTCTCTGTCACTTGTACTGGGGGCACAAGTAATTGCTAGTCAGGTCATGTCTGAGGATACGCACCGCTAGCTTAGGATAACCACATGGATCCTATTTTGGGACTATATGTTTGCTTCAGGGGAGGAATGATTAACTTAGAATTATAAGGTACTGGTTGACATGCGCTTGCGTGAGTATTCTCTTTTCTCCTTCTCTCTCTCTCTCTCTCTCTCTCTCTCTCTCTCTCTCTCTGCTGAGCATTTACGTTTCTCCTTCGGCTGAGTTTTGTGTCACTGGCACCCATCTGGCTGTGCTCAAACACACCAAAAAATGGAACTATGACTTGAGGGATTGAATCTACTTTTGAGCATTACAATATGCCCATACCGCTCTACTCAAAAGTTAGTAAGGCATCATATGAAACATGAGCCATCCATTGAGGTGAAAAGGCTGGGCTACAGGCCAACTCAACACTATACAATCATGTGTAAATTTTAAAAGAAGAAAGAAGAAATTGATATTCAGGAGTGCCAATAACTCACTTGCTAGATTGCATGTCCAAGAGACGTACTAAATAACCTATCCCATCAGGTCACATGTGCTTTACATTTGCATTCTGTCATCAAATGATCAAGTAACAATTTTCTTTTAAACATTTCGCAAATGATTAGTCGAGCCAAAGCAAAAACAAACTTGTTTCGGGATCGTGGGGAATCCGTCTGTGATGACAGCTATTGGGTGCACTGCAAAATAAATGTGTCATCTTCGTAGCAGGCTAGTTGTGTTTCATTGGGAATGGAAGAGAGGCTTACGCTAATCCTTATTCAAGTCACCACTGTTTTAAGACCGACAACAGGCTAGCACACAAACGGATTTATTCTGAACAGCGTGGACACCTATACACACACACACACACACACACACACACACACACATATAATGTATTTATTCTTTTCGTGTTCGGCCCCCTGCTGCTTCTCCTTCTCAAACTACCCCTATGCAGTACGCACAGTTGGGTGTCCACTAGCGCAGTGGAAGCATTCCAAGGCAATTTTTGTCCTGAGCCCATTTCACCTGAGTAGGTTGAAATTAACTTTTGGTCGTCTAGCGTTGGTGACAAAAACGTACGCTCATGAATAAGCAGACACAGTCGAATAAAAAAAGAAACATGCGCACACACACACACACACACACACACACACACACACACACACACACACACACACACACACACAGTGCCAATCAAAAAAAAAAAAAAACAATCCAAAAATAACGACACACACTGATTCACTCTGGTGTTAAGAAGTCAGTATGATGGCTATGGTTTTAATGGCATGCAACAAAAGCATTATTCACATCATAATTATTAACAGATTAGCATTGTTGCAGTTATTTAATTGATATTGAAACAACACTGACAAAATTTGGCATGTACGTTAATGGTCTGTCTTGAATTATTGAAGAAATAACAGTCAGGAAAGACTTCAAAGCGGAGGTTTGATCTTTATTTCTAAAGAAAATGCCCAAGAGGAGATCCCTAATGTGGTGTCCTTCGCAGTGGAGGTTTCCTCGATACTTATGCTGATCAGTTTCTTTCGCAAAAACAAAAGACCTCATTCTTCCATGTAATCATACCAAAAGGGTAGCTTGTTGTCTTTTAATGCAACACATCGAGACTTCATATGTCTCATTCCTCTTCAAATGTCTTCGTGTTGACCAGATGGCTCTCCTGTCATATGACGGCTGCATTTCCCAAATGACCCCAGAAAGATGGAATACAATGCGCAGTGGAGTTTTTCTTTCTTTCCAATGAACAGTTCACATCCCCTAATCCTGCAAAAACTCTGAATTGAAAATGTCTCTTCTAAAAAGACACCTTTGAAAAGAAAAAAAATGCTTTCCTCTCTCCCTCAGATTGAATGTTCCAGTATTTCAGAATACTCAGAAAGGATCATCAAGTCCAACCACCTCGACAGTGGTAAGAGCTACTCTACTTTACGATGACAATGCAGAGTCTCTCTCTGACAGCTTAATCGATACCATTTTGCAACTGAACCTGCAATGCAAGAGTTACATCATAGGTGTCAAACTCAGGTCCTGGAGGGCCGCTGTCCTGCATGTTTTCCAAGTCTCCCTGTTGCAGCACACCTGATTCAAATGAACAGGTTCGATGTCAGGCTTCCGCAGAGCTTGCTGATGATCTGATCATTTGAATCAGGTGTGTTGCAACAGGGAGACTTGGAAAACATGCAGGACAGCGGCCCTCCAGGACCTGAGTTTGACACCTATGAGTTACATGGTCATAAAGAGAGTAGACCAGTGATTCCAACCAGGGTGCTGTGGCAGATCATCAGCTGTGTGAAATTATCCAATTTTGTTTAATGAAAAAAACAACAACAATGGAAGGTAATTTTAAGTTCTAGTTTGTATATCTGTATATGCCGGCGACGTACAGTACACTACTTTTAAAGGCAGAAGAAATATGTAATCACTTTGCAATCACTTTGAGCGGTATCGGGGTTCACATGTCATTAAAACTGGCCTTAGTATCAACCCTCTAAACGTTCAAACAGAGCAACCAAAAGCTGTACTCAGCTACTCTCTCCAAGGGCAGAGCTTCACAAGAGCTTTGGTGAAACTCCAGCTGGTCCACACATTTCCATAAGAACACAACACTGGTACAAATTTTGTATAAGCGCTCGCTGTTTGTGGTTTCATTTCTTCCGTTCTCACGTTTCCGCATAAAGTCCTCCATATCTCAAGTCATGACATCTGAAGGCATTCCTTTCAGAAGAGCATAGATACAATTAACCTGATGGATTCAAGATTTTTGGATGGTTAGAAAGAATCAGCATTTTTATGAGATTTCAATTGTGTGTTTTAGTGATAACCATCATCAATGGAAAAGTGGAAGAGGTGGAGCTCCCCGTGGAGGAGGTTGACATCATTATATCTGAGTGGATGGGTTATAGTCTCTTCTACGAATCCATGCTGAATACGGTCATCTTTGCCAGGGACAAGTGGCTGGTAAGCACTCCTGACACAAATTGAACTCAAACGTTTGAATTACTGTGAATAATAGTTTGCATATTTATATTTATATTTGAAGAAAAAATTAAATAACTGTCAATTTGTGATATGAGAAGAGGACTTGGAATGTTTGCTAAGAAGAAGTGGGACATTGAGAGGACTCAGTAAAGGTGATAATACAAGTGGAACGGTGCGGGGGTGGTGGAGGACCCCAAAAAGCAGGCAAGAGGTAGGAGCAGGGTGAACTCGACAAAATGTATTAATCAAACACTGAGAAAACCAAATCCGAAACAAGCAAAGTCCTGAAAACAACAAGTAAGAACAAAACCCATGGCATAATGCAAAAAAATATGACATGATAAACACAAACCAACGGAAGCATTGACAGCAACAGAAACAGCCACAATGACCGGACACCGAGTGGTCTGGCCGGGAGTCCTTTTAACAGAAAACCTAATGACATGATGACCAACAGGTGTGCCGCTGTGGGAGGAGCCCTACAGAGCCACCTGTTGGTCCCAAACAAATCAACTGTGACACAACCGTTTTTTTGGCCTTTGCGGCGTAGAGCAAAGGCCAAAAAAGAGGCATATATGCCAGGTTGGACAGTAAAGGTGAGCAAATCTTTCCTGCTTGGCCCAACAAAGAGGTGGACATGGAAAGGATGCAGGATGCAGCAGGTTAGGGTGATTATCAGGATAGAGATGGAAAGGGGCGGTCTTGTGCCTGTAATGTGCCGCATAGATGGAAAGAATTCTTTGAGGAGTCCAAAGGAAGAATAGAATAAGCAATTGTGGGAGAAGAGGAAGTAACAATGATTGGTAAGGAATAGATTAGAAAGGTCCTAAAAAGGAGGACAATGGAAAGCCAGTTGATATCATGACATATCCTTGGAGGTATGAAAGCATCTAGGAGAGGTGGCTGTAGAGTTTTTGACTCGGGTCGTTCAAGAGAATTCTAGAGTGTGAGAAGATGCCTGAGAAATGGGGGGGGGGGGGTTGCTGGTGTGCATTTTCAAGGACAAGCTCGATGTGCAGAGTTGCGGTAACTATATAGAGGAATCAAGTTGGTGAGCCACACAATGACGTTATGGGAAAGAGTAGTGGAAGCAAGACTCAGGACAGGAGTAAAGGGGTGTGATGTGATTGAAGAGTCTCTGCGAAGATGATGGGGGAAATGGGGAAAAACAGACAGTGGTGAGGCCGAACATGATGTACCGATGAGCCACTGAAGAGACAACAAGAAGTGGAGCTGTGCAGGTGGCTGAAATGAAGATGTTGAGGTTTTCTTTGGGAGTCACCAGGAGAGCTGCATTCCACGAGTGATCCCCCAAAGAATTAAGATTAGATGAGATTATAAAAGCTTGACTGAAACAATTAACTTTTTGTCTTTTTAATGACATTAAGTAAATGCAAAATCATGAATATTTAAGAAAGATCAAGCTTTTTGTTATGGTTTTCCCCATATTAAGATCCCAAGTATGATGATGACAAACACACTACCAAATTTGAACATTGTCCAAATAAAATTGTGATCTGTGTCATGTGCAGGAAAAAAGATCTCTGCACCAGATGATGAATGACTGTGAATCATGTGAGAACTATTAAAATTGGAGTGATAATTGACAATTCCTCTGCTTTTTCTCTTGTCTAAAAGAAACCAGGTGGACTCATGTTTCCCGATCGTGCCTCTTTGTATGTGTTGGCCATAGAGGACAGGCAGTATAAAGACTTCAAAATTCATTGTAAGTTCATTGCAAGTATGCATGTGTCGCAGTTTGGTGCCTGTCTGTGTTACATTTAGGTACAAAAGCATTCGGTTCCGACATAATTGTAATTATGGCCTTCATTTTTAATGCATGCATGAAAAAACATTTGCAGACAATGACTCATTAATTTCAGTCTGTGGACATAATCAAATAAGGTGTGTCCTCCCTGCAGGTGCTTTTGTCTTCAGGAAGTAAAACAAAAGCTCCGTTTGGCTTGAGACCAAGTGACTGAGGTGGCAATTGAAGAAAAGTCCATTTATTTGGCTTAAAAAAAAATCTCAAGTTGTGTTTTGTAGTAATGATCATTATGTCAACTAAAATGGAGTATAGCAGAGCTTTTCTTGGAAAAGCTGTCAGGAATATTTGTGGGGTATTATCATCAAACTAGAATTCGTAGGGTTAACCACTAGGCGCAACTACTCGTCATATTGCCAAAAAAAAAACAACAGTGAAGCAAGATCCTGAGCCTGTGGGCAGAAGAAACCAAGGTCAACTTATATCAGAACGATGGGAAGAGAAATGTGGAGAAGGAAAAGAACATCTCATTATTCAAAGTGTAGCAGATCAGTTCTCACACTTGTTGGAGGCACTTAACGTGACACGAGTATGTCCATCCATCCATCCATCCATTTTCCACCGCTTATCCGGGGTCGGGTCGCGGGGGCAGCAGCTTTAGGAGGGAAGCCCAGACTTCCCTCTCCCCAGCCACTTCTTCGAGCTCTTCCTGGCGGATCCCGAGGCGTTCCCATGCCAGCTGGGTGACATAGTCTCTCCAGCGTGTCCTGGGTCGTCCTCGGGGTCTCCTGCCAGTGGGACATGCCAGGAACACCTCACCAGGGAGGCGTCCAGGAGGCATCCTAATTAGATGCCCGAGCCACCTCATCTGGCTCCTCTCGATGTGGAGGAGAAGCGGCTCTACTCTGAGCCCCTCCCGGATGAC